GCCCAGCGGCAACACCTCGCCCCTGGGCCCGACGACGCTGCTGCAGCTCTCCAGGACCCAGTTGGGCGCTCCCTTGCAGACGGTGAGGGCCACGGTGCCTTCAAAGGCAGGGGGCACAGAAGCCCAAGAAGCTCTCCTAGGCTCTTAAGGGTTTAGGGTTTAGGTTAGTAAATCGACTGGGCATCCCCTGTAGCCGCTTACTTCTCCCCAAATCCCCATGCCCATCTCTGCTTACGCACTCAAAAGAGCATCCAAGTGTCGAAGGCCCGAGCTTCAACATCCCTAGGCTCGAAATCCCAAAAACCCGACATCCGCAGAGGTAATCCCTGAACCCTAAACCCTAAACTAGGACCTAAACCCTAAACCCTAAACACTAAACTCGAACCTAAACCCTAAACCCTAAACTAGGACCTAAACACTAAACACCCAAACCCTAAACCTTAAATTTAGGCCTTTTTGCTCTGAACCTGAAGCCCGGAAACCCTGCGACGCTGAAGCCTGAAAAATCCCAGAAAGCTGCAGCAAAAAAAACACTAGACCCGAAACCCCAAAGCCCGAGACCCTAAACCATAAGCCCAAACCCCCAAACCATAATCCCTAAATCCTTACCCTAAACCGTAAACCCTAAACCTTAAACCTGAATCCTTACACCTTAAACCCTAAACCTTAAACCCTAAATCCTTAAATCCTAAACCCTAAACCCAAACCAGTTGGCCTTCGGGTAGCTGCAAGCCGTTCTCGCAGAGCTCGCGCCTGCCCCTCACGTCGCTGACCGTCAGCATCATCTTTCGCGCCGAGGAGAACCTGAACCCTGAACCCTAAAGCCTGTACTCTATACCCCATACACTAAACCCTGAACCTTGAACCCTGTTTGTTTAAGGAAGTCTTTTGGTGCATGCGCTTGGAGGTCTGGATCAGGACGCAGGGTTCTGGGCTTAGGATTTACCCCTAACTAAAACCCAAAAACCCTTCAGCCCTAGACCCCTGGACCCCCAACAGAACATCCACCAAAGTACCAGACAGAAAAAACAAAATGGGAGCTTCAGATAATGGAGGACAGTGATAACAGTCTGAGGAACCCTAAACCCTAGACCCTAAACACTAAACACCCGAAACCCTAAACCCTAGTCTGAAAAAACTCCCAGATCACCTAAGCCCTAAATCCAAAACGCCCTTTAAACCCTAAACCCTGAAGGCCTAAACCATAAACCCCCTAAATGCCCTAAGCAGCCCCTCAACCCTAAACCCCTCAACCCTAAGGCCTTTAAATCCTAAACCCTAAGGCCTAAACTGCCTAAACCCCAAACCCTAAACCCTGAGCCCTAAACCCGAAACCCTGAACCCAACACCCGGGTTTAGGGTTTAGGGTTTAGGATTTAGGGTTTAGGGTTTAGGGGAATGACCGAAGCCTTAAGTTGAGCTCAGGAGCGGGATATTCAGCAGCCGCGGGTATTGACCCGCCAGGCCACCTACGCCGGCCTGGGACGAGGGGGAAAAACCCAGCTTTTAGGGCCCCCAGGGGTTTAAAAGGGTATTTAGGGTTTAGATTCTTTAGGGTATTTAGGGTTTAGGGTTTAGGGTATTTAGGGTTTAGGGTCTAGGGTATTTAGGGTTTAGGGTTTAGGGTATTTAGGGTTTCGGGTTTAGGGTATACAGGGTTTAGGGTTTAGGGCATTTAGGGTATTTAAGGTATTTAGGGTATTTAGGGTTTAGGGCTTGGGGTATTTAGGGTTTAGGGTTTAGGGTATGTAGGGTTTAGGGTATTTAGGGTATTTGGGGTATTTAAAGTATTTAGGGTTTAGGGTTTGGAATATTTAGGGTTTAGGGTTTAGGGTAAGGGTTTAGGGTGTTTAAGGTTTAGGGTTTAGGGTTAAACAAAGCTGCGTATAGGATTTACGGTTTCGGGCATAGGGCTTGAAAGGGTATAACATTGGGCTTCGGATTCAGGGAATAGGGTTGATACAGTGCTGTCATCAAGGTATGGGTTGGGGATATATGTCATACTTCAATTATGCTGAGGATAAACAAATTATGTATTCAGGCTTGAAGAACTTAGGGACTTTGCCAGCGGTGTCTGTCCCTCAACACCAAAACCCTAAACCCTAAACTAAACCCTAAACCCTAAACTAAACCCTAAACCCTAAACCCTAAACCTTAAACTAAACCCTAAACCGTAAACCCTAAACCCTAAACGAATCCCTAAACCCTAAACCCTGGAAGGATTTCGACAGGAGATCCTCCAAAAAAGGAGAGTGTTTTCAGGGCTTTGGTGATGTGGGAATTCAGGGTTTAGGGTGCCAATTATTTTGGTGGATCCTTTAGAATGGGCCCCAAAACCCTATTCTAATTATTTTCGAGGGTTTGGGGATGTTTTCAGAGGCTTGCTTCGGACTTCAAGGCTTTGAGCGGGATCTAAGCCCTAAACTCAGCAAAACCTGTGCCCGAAACCTGAACGCTTACAGCCTTGGGCTATGAAGTCAAGCCGTAAACCCAAGCCGAAGCCCTAGCCGACCTTAAACCCTAATGCCTCAGCCCTCAACCCGAAAAACCCTGAACCCGAAACCCGGAACTGGCGGGGCCTTCTGGGCGGCCACCACCAAAGGCGCCTCCGAAGAATTGCCGCGGTACTGCCAGGCCTTTCATGGGAGGATCGCGAAAAAGATGCAGAGTTTGGGGTCCTGTCGGATTCCTTTAAAGGGGTGCTACAAGGGTTACTAGCGCGGTTCGGATACCGAGGGGCCTCAATCAATACTTAGAGCAGCGTTTTGGTGTAGAGCATTCCTGCTATCATCATCAAGAACCTTGAGGAGTCCTCTTGGGAATTGGTGAGGATGCCGGCGTTGAGGGTTCGGGGGTTAGGGTCTAAGGTCTCGTAACTGTTTGAGTAGCTCTTCTTACGCCTTTTGGGTCGAGAGATGTCATCAGTATAGCCTGCTTGCAAAGTCGAAATTAAAATTCCAGTTCACAACATGTGTACCCGAGTTCTGGAGATCTGGCATGGTTTGAATGGGGTTACAGGACTGGGTGGGTTAAAAGTGGACCTGCAGCGCTGTAGTTGAATGTCAAAGCAGGTCTGCGAATTCAGGTTCGAGGATTTGGTGTTCAGACTTGAAGCTTCAAGGGTGGGGATTTTGCGGTCGAGGACTTCCAGTTTAGGACTGTGAGTTTAGGCTTTGGGGTGTCGGGGTTCTGGGCTTGAAACTTGCCGGGTGCCGGGGACTCACCACTAAGCATCCCTCCCATCGCTCAACTCTCTCCATCCTGACAGCTCTGCGGGAATTTGGGTAGTTTTCTAAACTATGGTCCCTTTTTAGGGTCCTTTTATAAGGGTGCCGTACTATATTGGGTACCTCAAAAGGGGCCCTAATTCAGAGAACTACCCATGTAGGGTTTAGGGCTTGGGGTGCCGAAACCGTCGCCTGCACCCCCGTCTCGGGATCCGTGGCCAGGAAGAGCTCTGTGTCGCTGCAGAGAACCTGGGCCCGTGTTGCTGGGCTTTAGGGTTTATACGGGTTCCTTTTAAGGGGTTTTGGGGTTTATAAGGGGTTCCCTTAGAGGGGTTTTAGGGTTTGTAAGGGTTCCTTTAAGGAGCTTAAGGGGCTCTTGAATTTGAACAGGGAGACATTGAGCTTAAGGGGCCTTTAAATTAGGAGGAGTCAGGTTCCCATCAACACCTCGAGGTGCGGATTTTCGGGTAAATGCCGTGTCAGAACTTGAACAACTTCGACTTGCTACTGTAGAAGCCCGCCCCTGTCTCTGTGATCTTGAGGCTCCAGAAAGCCTAAGCCCCAAACCCAAACCGACTAGCCCTAAACCCTGAACCATAAACCCTATACCTTAAACCCTAAACCCTGAACCAGAAACCCCTCAAAGCAGAGTCCTAACGGCGGCGCAGGGACCGCTGCGAGGAGGGTACTACGCACCCCGAGGTCGGCGTGGCAGGCGGTGCCCGGATGCCCCTGGCGGGAGCTGGCCGTGCTGACAGGCGAATTGCTGTTACTATTGCTGTGACTATGACTATGACTCTTACTCTTACTCTACCACCACCACCACCACC